GCTCTGGCTCCTGCTGATAGCCTTAATGATCCTGCCAGTGAGAGCAATGGCCTCAATGAGTTGGCTAGTGCAGTGACCAGCACGGTTGGGCTGTTACCTCCCACTCCCACAGAGAGTAAGTGAGGCAAAGATGACTGCGATTTTATTTGGCAGTGGCCCTTAAGAGCTTGTTTCCACTTGTAAGGAGAGGTGCCCCAGCTCAGTGATAAGATGTTCCTTACAGTGGTGCTTTTTAGCCAAGAGTAAAAGGGAGGGGCCCCTGCTCCCTTGTTTGAGACAAGTGTCTGAGCAAAGCTGTATTGGGTTTTCCTGGTAGTTAAACACAATTGTTTGATCATGGGATAATTTTATGTTCCAGCTCTGTCAAGACACTTATTACCCTTGGAAATTCTGTGGGTCTTTTAGTTAAATTGGGACTTGGTTCTGTTGCCTGTAGTTTCCTTCCAGTTTTAGACACGGATCAATATAGTTGGGGATCGGGGATCTCATGGACGTTATTGAAATTCTTTCCCTCATTCAGGCCTTGCTCCTTCAAATACTTTCGTGGCCCCACAGCCTGTGGTAGTAGCCAGCCCGGCAAAATTGCAGGCAGCAGCTGCCCTGACAGAAGTTGCTAATGGGATTGAACCAGCTCCAGTGGTAAGAAAAAAAATATATTGGTGGGAATTTAAGGAATGAGTTTGCAAGTTTTCCAAAGTTAACCTTGAATTATCCATTCTTCACTAGAAACCAGAGCCTCCCACACAGCCTCCAAAAGCGGTTGTGAAGAAGGAAAATCAGTGGTTTGATGTGGGTATTGTCAAGGCAACTAACATGGTGGTGACACACTACTTCCTGCCGCCTGATGATGCACCTGCTACAGATGTGAGTGGCAAGAATATATTATAATTGCCTTATTTTCACTGTAAAGATCCAAATTTTTGCTGCCACGTATCTTTCTATCATTCCCATAATATCAAGATAATTGTGATGTCTTATTCCCACTCTCTTCTGTCCTCTGCAGGATGATTCAGGAACTACTCCTGATTATTCTCAGTTCAAGAAGCAGGAGCTACAGCCTGGTACTGCTTATAAGTTCAGAGTAGCAGGAATTAATGCCTGTGGACGAGGCTCTTTCAGTGAAATCTCAGCATTCAAGACCTGTTTGCCTGGTTTTCCTGGAGCACCTTGTGCCATTAAAATCAGTAAAGTGAGAGCTTTTTCTGTTTTTAAAGTCCTGTTAATTCATCTCCCTGTTTGGGTTGGGGTAATTGAATAATGTTTGTTGCATTTGTTGTCTCTCACTCTTGCTGCAATACCTTTTGGCTATCATGGTTTTCAACCTTTTTGTGTGTTTCTAACACAGAGTCTGGATGGGGCCCACTTGACTTGGGAACCACCTTCAGTCACCTCTGGAAAAATCACAGAATACTCAGTGTATCTGGCCATCCAGAGTCCCCAGGCGGGTGAACCTAAGAGTGCAGCACCTGCCCAGCTGGCCTTCATGCGGGTTTACTGTGGGCCCAGTCCTTCGTGCCTGGTCCAGTCAGCTAGTCTCTCCAATGCCCATATAGACTACACCACAAAGCCTGCCATTATTTTCCGGATTGCTGCCCGCAACGAGAAGGGCTATGGTCCTGCCACACAAGTTCGGTGGCTTCAAGGTGAGTGGCGGTTGTGATGGGACGTTGGAGGGAGGAATATAGCATATGAGTGGGAAGGCAGGCTCTTTAAATTGAACCTGTCAACAAGATGAAGAATTGCTACCAGGTCTCAGACTCTTGTAAATATCTGCACACCATTCACTTTCCCATTTTGAGCCTTGGTTTGCAAATGAAGAAAATCTGCCATGTTGCCTCTTAGATCCAGGCTGGATCTTTATGTTGACATTTCGGGTGTGTGTGTGTGTGTGTGTGTAATAAATAAATGGGAAGGTCTCATTCAAAGTTCTAGAATATTATTTTATTGAATTTAATAAGAATTGATGAATTTGTCAGATATTTCTGCCAATTCGTACTCGGGAATGTATCATATTTGGCATGTCTAATATGTGAATCTCACCATCCAGAGTGAAAATGTATTTTCAGCACCAGTTGCAGTATAAATTGCTTGGGAAGATAGGTTTACAGAGTTCAGCAGTAGAGACATGCTCAGCAAGCCAAATTCTAATAGTATAACTAAAGGACTGAAAGTCAGAATAAAATTACCCATTTTTTTCACATGTCAGCATTCAATTGTATTTTATTCCTAGTTTTATCCCTATTGGATATCATGATTTATAAATAGCCCACATTCATATAATGATTCAATTGGATTCAGGCAATGTTTTGTCTTTGTTTTCAGTGTGCGTAATGCACTTTTGTCTTTACAGAATCCAGTAAAGATGGATCTATGACAAAACCAACCAACAAGCGGCCGCTTTCATCTTCTGATTTGTGAGTATTGATTGGTGTATCAAATTGTTATTTCAGCCTTCATGTTTCCGTTGTAGAGTTGTGGGGGGTTATGGAAGGAAATCTACATATATGCCCAGTCATTTTGGGAGGAAAAAAATGCCTCATAAATTTTCTTTTGTTGGAGCTAAGCTGTTTGAAGACGAGAGGCAGTTGGCGTAGCATTTAAGGTACTAGCTTAGAAACCAGAAGACTGAGTTCTGGGCCACCTTTATGCATGAAAACTGGCTGGAAGACTTTGGGCTAGTCAGTCACTCAGCCCAGACCATCTCACCAGGTGCTTATTGGGTGTAAAACAGGAGGAGGAAGGAGCATTAGGTATATTAGCCACTGAGTTGTATATAAAAAAGGTGAGATGAAGATTAAGAAGT